AATTATTCTTAGGACAGAAATAAATAAGACATTTAAGAAAATTTTCATTAAGAAACTTAAATCTGGAACTGGTGCAGCAGCATAGTGACTAAACTGCTTGTCTTGCACATGCTGGGATCCCATATGGGCACCTGGTTTAATCCTGGCAATCCCACTTCCCATCTAGCTCCCTGCTTGTGGCTTGGGAAAGCATTCGAGGATGCCCTGAAGTTTTGGGACCCTTCACCTATGCAGAGGACCCAGAAGAAGCTCCTGCCTCCTGGCTTTGAATTAGCACAGCTCCAATCAGTGCGGCTTATTGGGGAGCAAATCAACAGATGGAAGATCTTCCTCTTTGTCTCTCCTTATTTCTGTATATCTGCCTTTCCAATAAAATTTTTTTAAAGATTTATTTTATTTTTATTGGAAAGGTGGATATACAGAGAGGAGAGACAGAGAGGAAGATCTTCCATCCGATGATTCACTCCCCAAGTGAGCGCAATGGCCGATGCTATGCCAATCCGAAGCCAGGAGCCTCTTCCGGGTCTCCCACGCGGGTGCAGGGTCCCAAGGCTTTGGGCCGTCCTCGACTGCTTTCCCGGGCCACAGGCAGGGAGCTGGAAGGGAAGCGGGGCTGCCAGGATTAGAACCGGCGCCCATATGGGATCCCTGGCGTGCAAGGCGAGGACCTTAACCACTGCGCCATAGTGCCGGGCCCCCCATAAATTTTTTTTAAAAAAGAAGCTTAAATCTGAATTTACGTAATATTATTTCATAGTATCTCTCACTTACTTACATATATTGTCATACTAAAAATAATCACTATCATGTCTTTTATTATGAATCTTATTTCTCTTCAAGTGGCCGTAGTGTGTTAGAATGAAACTTGTTATATTGAGAAAGTGTTTGTCACAATACATCATCAAAGCATACGTCTACAATAGGAAGCGGAAATTGTACCCATAGATGAAAGATTAAAGTTTATATCTAGTGCCCAGCGCTATGGCGCAGTGGTTAAGGTCCTCGCCTTGAATGTCCAGGATCCCATATGGGCACTGGTTCTAATCCTGGCAGCCCCGCTTCCCATCCAGCTCCCTGCCTGTGGCCCGGGAAAGCAGTTGAGGACGGCCCAAAGTTTGGGACCCTGCACCCATGTGGGAGACCTGGAAGAGTTTCCGGGCTTCGGATTGGCATAGCATCAGCCGTTGCGCTCACTTGGGGAGTGAATCATCGGACGGAAGATCTTCCTCTGTGTCTCTCCTCTCTGTATATCTGCCTTTCTAATATAAAGAAAATAAATCTTTAAAAAAAAAGTTTATATCTAGCAGAAGACATGATCAAGGATGTTTGTAGCAGTTTGCTCAAGGTAGTAAAAATTTACCTATAAAAATATGAATTAATATAATGTAGCCGTATAGTTCATGTAGTGGAATACCAGAAAAATGAACAAGCTATTATGTGGAAAAACACAAAAGAAATTAAAGTATGTTGAGTGTATTAAGTCAAATCTCTGGATGCTTTTTCTCCTCAAACTTGGTTATGCAGACAACATTTTAGAAATATTAGGATTAGGGTGCCTTTGAAGCATAGGGGCATATTAGTTTGGTTATATGTGTGGTTAAACAAATACTCTAAGACTCAAAAAATTGTTTTATGAATATATATCTATAATATTAGTGTCTGAAAAAAATGTTTCTTAATAAAAGTGAGAAGCAAAAGAAATGATGACTTGGAGTGGGGACATTGACTAGCACTGAAAGGAGTAGCTGGAGAACCTGCACTGGTTCTCTGCTCTGCAGTTCTGTGTCCTGCAGACATGTTTCTCAGGGGATAGACTGAATCCACGTCCTCCGGGATTTCAAGTCACAAGTGTCCGTTGCTATTGAAAGAGGGTGAGAACATCGAGATCCATAGAGACACAGGAGAAAAGACAGCTGAATTTGGAGTAGCCATGTCACTATTTATCTAATTGTTTCGTTAGTGCTCAACAAAGTGTTTGTATCCCTAAGCCTGGCAATATTTAAATAAAACACATTTCTTGTTTCAGTAAAACTGAATTGCCTAAATCATTAACCCTTCAGTTTACTAAATATGTAACTATTACTAAATACAAATATTACTAAATCTTTAATTACAAAGTCTAGAATAAGTGTAGCATTTTGCCTTTGTATTATGAATTGTCCATAAACATATGGGAATAAAATGAAATGATACCTGTTGCCTGTTTCAGGATTCTTCTGTCAATTTAGCTCCCTGGAATTTTCTGGTTATTGCTTGTTTTATCCCTTACTCTTGATTGCATCTCTTTAGACACATTTGTTTTGCACGCATAATTTTACTCGTTTCTTTACACTAATTTGTTTTGTGCAAATCATTCTACTTACCTGTTGAAGGTGTTGCACAAGATCTCGACTTAGTCTTTTTTAGTATTTGGTTTCTCTGGTACTTAAAATTATAACTTGGAATTATAATAATTACTTTGGGTTCCTACCCCCTTTTTAAGTGTGGTTACATAACTATCTATTTCCTTATTACACACAATAAAGAAATTAATTATTACCTATAATCCTACTCAAGTTTGTCCAAAATCTGGCAGGTATCCAAAGTAGAACTTTTTATTTCTAACCTCTTGCATTTCAAAAAATTGTATTCTTCTGAGTATGTTGTGGGTTTTAAAAAAATATTTATTTTTATTGCAAAGTCAGATATATAGAGAGGAGAAAAGACAGAGAGGAAGATCTTGTGTCCGATGAATCACTGCCCCAGTGACCGCAACAGCCAGAGCTGCGCTGATGTGAAGCCAGGAGGCAGGAGCTTTTTTGGGTCTCTCACATGGGTGCACAGTCCCAAGGCCTTGGGCCGTCCTCAACTGCTTTCCCAGGCCACAAGCAGGGAACTGGCTGGGAAGTGGAGCTTCAGGGATTAGAACCTGTGCCCATATGGGATCCCGGATGTTCAAAGGGAGAATTTTAGTTGCTAGGCAGCCACTCTAGGCCCTTCTTTTTTTGTTTTTCTGTTTTTTTTTTTTTGTTACATTTTTTTTTTCAGTTTTACCATGCAATGATCCCTTAATGTGTTTTTTATGTGTCTTCCCATGTAGAAACATTTTTCACAATTTCAAGATTTAGCAAGAACTGAGAAACTTGATTGCGTTATTATTGTTCATTTATAGTTCCTGATTTACGTTTTAGGGTTAGGAGTTATAATGCAGTGGAAAAGATTTTACTGTAGAAAAATATGAGCACAATGCTTTATCTCTTAGACATACATGCTCTTTTGTAGTTATAAAGTACTTTCACATATATCATCGTATTTAATCTTATGCAAGTCTACTTTGCAGATACGAGTCTAGACGTTCTTGAGAGATCCCTAGAGGCTCAAGTCTAAACCTTGTCTTAAAGTTTGAACTCTTCACTCAGTATCTTATGCCTTCTGCTTTGTAAGCACATCCTTGATTTACAGAGTGAAGCCATGTAGTCCATTATGATTTTTGAACATTTGTTTCCTGCCTCTCTTGTTTTCGCATATGGTGGTCAGCTGGATTAAATCTTCTGAACCTTTTCTCACTGTTACCACTGAAAGATAACTGAGTCTGATAAAATGCAGTATTACATGGATGGAAATTTCCTATGGCTTCTGTCCTTGGGATCTGTGGGTTCTGTGGAAGCGTGATGTTCTGGTTTCCTGTCCAAAGCATGGATACACTTAGTGGGCAGGCCTGCTCCTGTAGAGGGTGGGGAATGAATCTTCCCGCCATGAATTGCTGGAAGAATCAAATTAATTACAGCAGGCAGCTTCATGGAAATCTTTGGACCACCCATCTAACAAGGCTTCTCCATATGCTTCATTCCTATATCATTTTGAAGTTTACCAAAAGAATGTGGTTGATTGAGCCCCTTCAAAATATAACATTTTATTGACCTGAGAATAACCATTCTTTCCCATGAAAGACTAATTTTACTTATATCAAACATTTATTTTGTTTATAATAATCCATGGTACAAGTTATGACTACTTTTTGGACTAATAAAATCTACATCCTTACTTGTATTGTGTTATAAACATAATACCTTTTCATTCTTGAGTTAATGAAAGAGGATGATTATCTTAGGGCATGTTTAGTAGAATTTGTTCTTGTTTTATTCTGTTAGCTGTTCTATAAAACATAACCAGTCATGTTTAACGTGCACATTATATGAGGGCCTTGGAAGGACTTGCAAACATTTTTATGTTATATGGTATAAGATTTTAATACCATTTCAACCAGAAAAAATTTCCACATAATATAAGCTGCTAGTTTTTTGAGGAACTACATGTTATCTACACTGTATATTTATACGTGATATATGTAGCTCTTTAGTATTAATTATTATTATAAAATAAAGTGTTTTACTTATTTGTAAATGTTAATATATACTACAATTCTTAATATAGGAAATAATAAGCTGATTTGGTAAGATTTCATGAGTAGGTGAAGCCCAAGTTAAACTTTTACCTAGATAATAAAACAAATGACATTTGCTATAACACTATGAACAGCTTAAATTGGAAAGTGTATTGAGACAAACAAATATTGTTCACCCACTAAAGTTGTGTACATAAGAAAGGAATGTTTTAAAATTAGATCCAGGACATTTAATAGTATTAGTCAAGGTACATGGCTGATTAAGAGCAAATTCTAGATGATGACCATGAATTCTGTTCCATTGTTCTAATTCCTAATTATTAGGTTGACTGTCTAGAAAATTTTAGCATAGCATTGCCCTTGATAGATGAAAAACACCTTTAAGTGTTTTTTTTTTTTTTTTACTTAAATTCCTCCGAAAGGGAAAAAAAAATAACAATTGAAACATTACTTTCAATTGCCTAAATTGCATCCAGGTTTTAACAAAAAAATGTATCCACATACATATGTATACAGCTTTTGTAGATCATCTGTTGTTTAGTATTTCCCTCTTGAAATTTTTTAACTTCGCTCATTGGTCCACAGTTAACCAAGTTTTGCCGTTTTTGTTTTATAGAATCTGTCTGTCCAACAAGAATTCCTGTGGCAGCTCGTGATGAGAAGGGATTTGACATACTTTTAGGTTTGGGTATAAAGAAAAAGGTTAAGAAAAGAATTCAGCTCTCACCAACAAAGATAAAAGGATATGAAGTAACATCAAAAGTTGATTTATCAGAATCCACAAGGTGAACATTGTATGCTCATACAAATTTGTTTGTGCCTATGGATGTGTTGAGTACTTATGAAGCTTACACATGTTCTTTTTTTTTTTTCTAGCAATGTTTTCCCAGAAGGTCTTCCTCCATCATATGTATTTGTTTCCACTCAGAGATTTAAGGTCAAAAAAATGTGGGATTTATGGAGAATATTAACTAGTGATGGAAGGCCTCAAATAGCTGTTACCTTAAATGGTGTGGAGAAAACATTATTATTTACGACAACTAGTGTAATTAATGACTCACAAGTGGTCACCTTCACTGAACCTGGAGTTAAGGTAAAGATGCGTAATTATGGTATTGCCCTGAAAAGACCCTTTTGTTTGTATGGGGTAGGGAGTAGAGGCATCTATAATTTTCGTATGACTAGAGAGTTATTGACTTTATATTTTATTGTTAACATGATGGAAGAAAATGTACAGAATGGGAAAGACTTTCTTAATATGAGGACAATGAGTGAAGGAAGCTAAAACCTTTTGTGTGCCTACAGCTAGATATCAGACATGTTTAATAAAGTAATCACCCAGTGAATAAATTATTGCTAGTAATTTGTTGAAGGAGCCCATGTTCAAGACTTTTATATTCCTTCAAACAGTAATATAGCCGGTAATGGTAACAAGAGAACTGACATTAAGGTAAGGTTGTTCTCATAATTTATTTTGAGAAATTTTATACTTCCCTGTCTTACATAACATTAGAATAAAGTTGTATTTGTTAAACATTACACACCAACTGTATGATTAGCATATTATCATAATTAGGAGAGGTAATTTGTTTTGCAAAAGGGAATATACATTTAACAAAATAATCTATATATTTATTTTATAGATAAGTAACCTTAATAAAGTAAGCTAGATTAGCATACACATATTTATTATCTGAATGCATAATTGATAGTATATATCTAATAAAATAACTAAATATATTTATTTTCCAAGTCATGTGTTCAAAATCCTGATGCAATGATAAAAGCAATTGGGCTTTATTTCTTAATATAATTATGATATTAAATATAATATTGCATTACTTAGAAACTGTTCAGGTTCATACGTAAATTAAGAATCTGGAGAATTTCTTCATTCAGTAAGCAGATTAGATTTAAAAAATTTGTGGTTTGCCAACCTCATTAAAGATTGTGCTTTAAGTTATGTGAGAAATGATGAATTGGCATTTTTCTAACATTCAAGGAGCCTATTAATAATGGGATATTTAAAAAAACTGGTATTAGGCAGAGTTAAAAGCATTTGTGGGAATAACATGAAAAATGAGAGAGTGTTCCTAAATGAGAATGATTTTGAACTGTATTTCTAAGGTTATAGAGGGTTTAAGTGGGAAGGATATAAAGTTTTGTGCAGTCAATTTTTCTATATTGATTAATGCTGTGTGTAATAAAGTGCAAGCTTTTAGAGTTGAAATGTTGCAATGTGTTTGAAGTAGAGGTTTCAGGGAACAAAGACAAATAAGATATGCTAGGTGGTTTCCATTGTTACAATGAGTAAGTGACACTGACTAACCTTAGAAAGAAAAGATGCTTATTTTACTCACAAGAGGTTGAGGGACTTGATGTCAGCATTAAGGAAGCTCTCATGAAGATTGTGTCTTGAGACAGGAATAGTTCAAAAGTTGTGGTCCTTTTACAATTTGTTTCTCAACTATGTGTGTGTGAACCTTCTCAAAGTAGCATGAGAACCCCCAAATAACTCTTGAGAGCAGTCTCCCAAGGAGCTTAGGGTCTCTCACTACAGTCCTGCATCTGAAAAGTTCCATCATCTCATCATATGGACACACTAAGCCAAGCAACCAACCAATGGACCTTCAGAAACTAACCATATGAAAAATATCAAGGATGGATCAGTGAAGGAGAAGAGACACCAAAGGGATTGTAGAAAATGAATAGCTGATACAAAAAATTATAGATGATTAAGATTGTCTGAATTACGGAAGTTGGTTGAGACCATCAAGGAAGTTGGACTAGTTAGGGGGTTCAGAGCTGCAAGGAACTAAACAGAAAGAGGATTGAGAGGAGCCATTTGGATTCAGACAGGAAGCTCACATTTGTGACTTTGAAGGCATTATTTCAGTAAATGTTTTGACACAGCTACTTTGGGATACTAGTAGGAACTGAAAAAGTGGCTTATATGAGTGAATGGGTGGCACATGAGGCCCTATGTAGATAAGGGTCAATTTGTGTATAACATAGGCAGTCTCTGTGGTAGTAAAGATTTAGTAATATTTGGGAGCAAAGAAATAGGAACAAAGGAATAATGCATTGTTTCAAATTTTCTTCCTCCTTTAGACATTGTTTGATGAAGGCTGGCATCAGATTCGTCTCTTAGTAACAGAGCAAGATGTGACTCTGTATGTTGATGATCAACAAATTGAAAATAAACCCTTACATCCAGTTTTAGGAATCTTTATCAATGGACAAGTCCAAATTGGAAAATATTCTGGAAAAGATGAAACTGTACAGGTAGATAAATAATGGACTGGTTTTACAGTGTATAAAATGAAATGTCTATACTTTGTAATATTGCTTATCATATTGAAATATATTTAAACTAATTATGAATTCTCTTAAGATACATGTTCAAAATATGGTAACTTTGTTAGTGAAATTATATGTGCCTATAAAAATGCAAAATTGAAAGTAATCTGCAAAAACTCTTAAAAATGTTTTCTTGGGTACAGGTAGAATTCTAGGAAGCATTAATTTCACATTTTCCTGGAGAATTAAATAATGAATTTGTAAAAAACAACGTGGTTAATGCTAGAGCATAGGCTATGAATTTTCTTTGCAGCTGTGAGAATAAAATTTGATTTGAGCATGTCAGGGCTCTTCATGAGCAAAACTTATTTAAACATAAAACTCATACCGAAACACCTGTGTTTTCACGTTTGAAATGTTTTTGGCTGCAATATTTGTATTTAGAACTAGAAATATGGATGTTTCTAGAAAATCTATGCATTTATTCAATATGTCAAATTGTAGCAAATGTTTAAGCAATAGCAGGTATTGAATATACTTATCATGTAACAACACTACACTCCAAAAACTAAATTTCTAAAACCAAAGATGGCTTCCTGAGCCCATCCTGTACAATCTAGAATGTTATAATGATTTAGGATAAACATAGGAAAACCTGGGGCCCGGCGCAGTGGCGCAAGTGGTTAAAGGTCCTCGCCTTGCACGCCCGGGATCCCATATGGGCGCCAGTTCTAATCCCTGGCAGCCCCGCTTCCCTTCCAGCTCCCTGCCTGTGGCCTGGGAAAGCAGTCGAGGACGGCCCAAGGCTTTGGGACCCTGCACCTGCATGGGAGACCCGGAAGAGGCTCCTGGCTTCGGATCGGCATAGCATCAGCCGTTGCGCTCACTTGGGGAGTGAATCATCGGACGGAAGATCTTCCTCTCTGTCTCTCCTCTCTGTATATTTGCCTTTCCAATGAAAAAATAATAAAAATAAATCTTAAAAAAAAAAAACATAGGCAAACCTAAGAAAGCTTGTTTAAGTGTCTTAGGAATGGTTTTTAGATGAGCTGTTAGTACCGGGATACAAGGAAAGCTTTTCTGGGATCTGAAGGAAATCAGATTTGCTCTTGTTGCTAGAAGATTTTTTTAAGGAGGCATGTTGTGTCACATCTTTATGGTATATGTCAGATGTTCTAACTTTGGATTCTTATTATTTTTGCTGTGCTTCAAATTTGTAAAACTAGCCTGATGGCTGTTTGTATTATTTGAGTTGGTGTTATAAAACAATTAGCTTGTTTCTTGGTTTTAACTCAACTGGGTTTTTGTGGATATCCCCAGTTTGATGTACAGAAGTTGCGCATCTACTGTGACCCAGAGCAGAACAACCGAGAAACAGCATGTGAAATTCCTGGCTTTGTAAGTAAGCTTAACTTCCATACATGAAATTGTTGTTTTAGTTGATTCGTTTAAAGGAATACATCAAACGAAGAAAATACTTGACAGTTTTTATAGCATTGAATTCACTATTTATCATCAATTTCAATAAAGTTAAACATTGCAAAATGTATTTTCACATTTGTAACTAAAATAAATATATCATTGTGTGTATTGGAAATGAGTCAAGGAAATGTCTACCCCTTTATCTCCCGGGCAAACATTGTTTCTAATTGTGACTGATACAATATTCAGGTGAAGGTTTTGCTGTTTTGACATTCCATGTACCTCTACCTGTACAACTAAATAACTAAAAATTAGATAACTTGGTAATTAAATTTTAAAAACTTACTGGAAAACACACGTTTGTTTTTCTTTCAGAATGGAGAGGTAAGGTTGGATACTGTTTTTCTCCCTAAGCTGTTTATACTGTGAGGCTGCTTAGCTTCCTCTCACCAACTGTGAGTATATTAGACAAATGTAATTTGAATATATTTGATATTCTTAGATTTTTGTGGTTTGTGATTTTTTATTCAGTTGGACTAAATGAATAGGAAAGTGGACATATGGTACCTTTACTGCTTACACAAACATGTAGCCACATATAAACAGAAATGTTTATATGGGAAAGGGCTTAAACAGCTCATGGAAAAATCGTATTAAAGATAATGTCCATTTTCCATGAACTTTAAGAACTACGTGTCAAGTGTGTGTATATATATATGTCTTCCATGTTTCTTTTCATTTCCCTTTTTGTCTTTGTAGTGCCTAAATGGTCCCAGTGATGTAGGTTCAACTCCAGCTCCCTGTGTTTGTCCTCCAGGAACACCAGGATTACAAGGTCCCAAAGTGAGTACTACCCTACCCAATATGCTATTCATATTAAACCAAATGAACAGGAGTAGAGCAAATGAAGGAAATTCCTAACCATCATTTTACAACCCTGTTGTAAAATCTCCATCTATCACCTTAGAAATTTAAAACTTGAGTTTTGATGTATTTATTAAAAAGCAAAATTCTAATGTGAAACTGCTTTTGAAACTAAATCTAATGCTCACCTAACCCACAGTAAAGAGAGGTAGAATTATTTTCTTGTTTTTTTTTCTACCACATATTACTGTTAAATCCAAAGAATAATACTTCAATAAAACCCAGGAAAAATGTGAATAAAGGACATTTGTTAAGATAAGTGATGTCTAAATTCCTCAGAGTCTAGATTTTCAGATAGAAAAATGTAAAAAATTAACTGTCATTCTGTGAGTTTAATGCATAATTCTGACAATAGAATCATATATTCATATACTTGTATTACTTAACGATCTGATAACTAATTTTGAGGACTATACACATGTGCTCCTGTGCATTTACATATTTATTTCAATACATAGTATATACACATTTTTATGTGAATGAAGCCTTTTTTTAAGATTGATTTATTTTTATTGGAAAGTCAGATTTACAGAGAGAAACACAGAGAAAGATCTGTTCACTGATTCACTCCTCAACTGGCTGCACTGGTGAAAGCTGAGTCAATCCAAAGCCAGGAGCCTGGTGCTTCATCTGGGTTTCCCATGCAGGTGCAGGGTCCCAAGGCTTTGGACCATACTCTACTGCTTTCCCAGGCCACAAGCAGGGAGCGAAGTGGAGCAGCCGGGATGTGAACCACTGCCCATATGGGATCCCATCGTGTCCAAGGAGAGGAGTCAGCCACTGGACCCAAATCTCACCATGTTGTGCATACTGACTTTTAGTATTTTATTTCTTATTTTAACTATGTATGCCACATATTTCCCTATTATTAAATATTAGGAATCTTCCAAAAGTTTACGAATATACACATATACTATGAAAAGTTATATATGAATTTCAGCTTTTGGCACCAATATTATTTTCTGTTCCTTTTACTGAATTTCTTGAAGTACTCTGACATTCAGTTTTTTTATAAGCTATAACTTATTAGATTGCATATATAAAAGTACAAATTTATTAGGTAGCCACATATTATTTGAAGGAGAAATGTAGTTAAGATCAAATCATCTTAGATTTCACCTTGTAAGACAGTTGGTGTGACTTTTTCAGCAAATTCTTTTTTTTTAAAAAACAGATTGTTCATTTACCTTGGAGAGACATAAAATGATTCAGTCTGCCAAAGGTACAATGTGGAAATCAGATACTCATGATATCTCACCTCTTAAGAAGCAGAATGTTTTCTTGACTGTCAGTGTGTTTCAGGTAACCCCCAGAGTATTCCAGTGGTTGTTGCCTTTTGGGGAGACCCCCGAAGCTTCTTTATTTTTGTTTCTTCATTTGTGGTTTAATAGGTGTCTCATAGTCTTACCCATTTTTGTTTTCCTATGTTTCTACCTCAAACTTACAGTGTACTGATTGTCTTATCTTCTAAAACCTTTAATTTGTAATATTTCTTATTTTCATATGTTCCTCATATTCACTTTCTTTTCTTAGTCATAATCTAGTTTCATTACCACCCACCACTTTAAATGAAACAGCAGTTTTCCACCAATTGTTGAGTTGGCATGTTTTCATGATCTGCTTTCCATTTTCTTCAGGACATCTGGCAGCTGGAAAGGAACACACACGCACTCTTCCATCCTTTTAGCACTCTTTCCCTTGGAGGTGGTTTGTTACCCTGATCAGTGACCTGTATGTAAAAAACAGAATCCCTAGCAACTCTCTAAGTTGCACTTCTAGAAAATTTATGACTTTGAAAATTTTAGATTTTTAAAAAATTGATTCCTCAAGGCCCAAATGTTGGATTCCACTGAGACCTACTAGCCTTTTTGCTGGATGCCTTCCATAGAAATTGTTCAGATGTTCATCAGAGACAGTGGAAGAGCAGAACTGGCCTTTTTTTATATATAATAAGGAACAGGGTTCTGGGAGCTGAGTGCTGAACCTTGAGACTGAAACCAAAGACAAATTGTTTGTGTATAGGAAGTGCTTAGTTTAAGATAAAGAAATGCTGTTGATAGCTTTCGAAGTGTCTGAAAGGTATGACAAATCTGTCATAAAATGAGATAAAAAAATGTGTGATACTTCAGTTAGGCTGATAGTGTGAGAAGTCTTCAGGAAGTGTTGAAAAATGTGTATCTGTCATTGAACTGTGGGCTCCTCAAATAGCTCGATGGAGCCTTTAATCCCTAATTTTAAACACGAAGAATTAATAATGAGTCTATTTGAGTTATTTTCACTTTAATACTTAAGTATCTGTTTTGTTCACCATAAAGGTTTATAAATAGAAAATTCTCATTTGGAATTAAATTGTCTGACATAGACACAGTACGTAACAATAATGTTTATTGAGTAAATTATGAAATAGTTCAAGAAATAAAATATACCCTTACTGCCAGTTGTACAATATGAAATGTTTCTGTTCCACATGAATGATCCAGGCAATCCACAGTTTACCAACAAATCTCTTTCAGCTGATAGCTACATCTCCTACTTTGTAGATACTAATGGGATATTTGTTGAGGACAGGTTCCCCAGCTTTGATATAGTCTGCAATGACATAGGATTAGTTGAAAAGCACTTCTTTGTTTAGTTTGAAACAATTTCTTAACAATTTTGTTTTGCTCTGCAGTACCACCCTCTCTATAACCATATCCCTTTTGAGTTCTTAATTTCACCCTAGTGTTTCTACCACTTAGTGATTCATTCAGACTATCAACATGTCCCCTTTCTAAAAGACAGAAAACTTTGGGAAATTTCACTCCTGGGCATTCGCATCTTAATGTTGATTTCCCCTAACTGGGTGGATTCCTTCCAGGTGGGTTTTGAGAGTGGAAGGAGGTTGATCTTGGGAAGTGATATAGGTCTTAGATCAGGTACAGTGACGGCAATGTGGGCACAACGATCTCAAGAAAAGCACTTTTGGAAACATGGTGTTTGGGTTTGAGAGAAGAATTCCAAAGGCACTTGCTTTGGATGAACAACATAAAATAATAGGTTACTTTTTTTGAGCACAACTGTTATTTGTTTTAATTATATTTATACTATTTGGAAAGCCATATTTGGAGGTGTTTTAGCTTAGCACATACTCCTGTCAACAACTCAAAAATTCTGTGGCAGAAATTCTTTTCAACATAAACCAAAACTGTTTTTCACCTCAATACATAGTTTTTAAGATCAAAATATGCAAGTATTTTAAGTAAATTATAAAAAATATATGGGAATCTGGTCATATTAATTATGTATATATAAATGTGAATGAAATTTGTTTTCCCATGTGTGGTTTTTTTAGCAGTCTGTAGTTAGGCTTCTGATTCTTGTGTACATTTTAGCATTGGCAGGCATAGTGATATTTAGGAGTGTGGGCTCTGAGGATGCAGCTGCTGAGCTGAAATCCCACATCACAGTGCTAAGGGACCTTTGCTAGATCACCTAATCTGGCCCTTATTTTTCACATGTGTGTATATGTATGAAAAACTTCTTCATTAGGTCTTTATGATGATTAAGTAATTCAATATATACATAGTTTAAGAGCAGTCCTTTACATGTAAGAATCAATAAAGTTTGACTCTTAGTTACGGGGATAATAAAATTGATGATTCATTTGTGTTCTATGCTGATTGACCTTCTGTCCAATCACCCAAATTAATCCAGTTTTATGGAAACACTATCAAATCTAAGTTTTTGCAAGTAATCTAATCATTGTGCTTGAAAAATATCCATCCATGGGCCCAGCAGCATAGCCTAGCGGCTAAAGTCCTTTCCTTGAATGTGCCGGGATCCCATATGGGTGTCAGTTCTAATCCCGGCAGCCCAGCTTCCCATCCAGCTTCCTGCTTGTGGCCTGGGAAAGCAGTCTAGGATGGCCCAAAGCCTTGGGACCTGCACCCATGTGGGAGATCCGGAAGAGTTCCTGGCTCCCAGCTTCGGATTGGTGCAGCACTGGCTGTTGCAGTCACTTGGGGAGTGAATCATGGGACGAAAGATCTTTCTCTCTGTCTCTCCTCCTCTCTGTATATCTGACTTTGCACCCACCCCTTTTTATTGGTTCTTTAATAAGAATTCACATAATTCTTTCCATTTTTCAGGGATAAATCTCCCAAGCCAGTCTGACATTGTATTTTATACCAGCAAATTAGCTCTGTAAGAGCACAGTTAATGAAAGTCAGTTCTTCCCACTACACAGATATTTCCTGATACATATGGAGTGGCTTGATGTTTGGACTTGCTGGATTCAGGGATACATAAAGATGACATTACTTTTCAAGTATTTTTAAGAATTGTATAAATCCTCCCTGATAACTCCGTGTTTTTTCATTGCTTTTTCATTGGTGGAGCTCATCCAAATGGTCAGTACTGTCCCTCAGGTCACTCCAGAGTCGTACAGAATATACCTGGGCTCATTGTCATGGTGTATGGAAAAATAGTCTTTGAAGATCTCAGGCTTGTTAGGGCACAGATAATTTCTAAATTTATTTGCCATTACGTGCATTGAAGGGCAATGAACAGTGGAAGAGAGTTGTTCAGTCTGTACCTTGCTGTCATGAAAATAATCAAATTTTAGTATTTACACATTGTCAGAATTTGCGATTAACAGAGGTGAAATGACACATTGATAGATTTGAAATAAATGACTGTTAAGCTGCTTTCAAGTTTAACCCCACAGGTTATGGTTTATGGTATGAGTTCATGGTTTGTAGGCTATTTTTTTAAGCAAATTATTTTCTTATGAGTTTAATTATTAAATTACTGGATAATGATATCTGCAATAAAACATTTATAATATGATTAATTCTATAGATTTACGGGCCAAATATTGCTTTCAGGAAATCATACTGTCTTAGACACTCACAGTTTATTTAAAATTCTAAAATTGTACCCTGGTACAAATATTAACATTATTATGTGTCAGTACTTCACTCTTATATCTAACATGCTCATGGAAATAAATAATAATGCAAAGTTTTAAGTAATAGAAAGCCATATTTTTTCAGGTAGACATTTACAGTGTGGTACAGGGTTTTTCAAACTGTATTGGAACATTTGTATTTTTTTTTAATGCAAAGAATCCTCAAATATCGGAATTTGGTTTTGAACTTAATATGCTCTGACTGCACAAACATGGTTGGATGTTTTGTACTTAGAAGTGTTGTCTCCTGTGTTTAGGGTGACCCTGGCCTACCTGGCAGCCCTGGCTATCCTGGACAACCTGGTCAAGATGGTAAGCCTGTGAGTACTGCAAGCTTAGTCATCTCCAGTACTGGGATTATAGTGACAAATCAAAAATTGCATTATGCACAGTTAAACAGAAAAGGAAGAATTTATTCAGTATTGCTACAGTGCAGAGAGAAATTGGGCTAAAATCTTTTGAAGTAAAGGGGAAGAGAGTTTGAGAGTTGGGATAGGTAAGTGTAAAGGTTGATAAATAAGAACGTGCTGAGTTATTTCTTAAGTTGAAAATCATTCGCTCTGTGATTACAACAGTTGTGTCAGCAAATTAATACCAGTTAATGTTTGTTTTCTGCTCTTTCATAGAGACTAGAATATGGAGGTGCTATATTCTTGTTGATTATAAGGTTCTTGAGAAAGACATTTCTGAGTTGTAAAACTGTCTAACTTGCCTTAAAATAGATTTAGCATCTCAAGGGGGCAGACAAATAATTTAAATATTTTCTAAAGTAAATACTTTAATAAAGGGAGGTCAGGAACTATACTAGAGTCAAGAATATGACTACCAGATATTAGTCAAACTGAAGGAAGCAGTGAGGATGAAATCAATAGACAAACTGTTCTAGGCACACTTTAGTTATCTTCATAATTCCATCTGTCTCTGCTGTAACTAACAAAAAAACTGTTCTGTAACTTTGAACATCACTAATTGGCTGGGCAGAAAAATCTTTTCTGGGGTAGATGTTTTGCTTACTGCTTTAGATGCCCATGTCCCATGGGCATCAGGTACTTCAATCAGCTCCAGCTGTCTGCTAGTATAGACCGTAGGGTGCAACAGTGATGATTCGAGTGCTATCACCCACATAGAAGACATGTACTGAATTAACAACTTCTTACTTCAGTCCTGACCCAGCCATGGTGGATGTGGGTACTTGGGCAGTGAACCAACCTGTCAAATAAACAAATTATTTTTTAAAAATCTGGGCAAGCTTTGGAGTGCAGATTGTTAAGCTACTAGTTGCTATATGTATATCTCATATCAGGATGATGTTTAAAGTTCCAGTTTGTCTGATTTCCACCCAATCTTTTAATGCATCCTGTGAACCAGCAAATAATATCTTAAGTGCTTGAGTCCTTGTCACCCACAAAGGAAATCTTTACTCTTAGCTTCAACAACTGAGACTCAGCCTCAGTTGTAGACATTCAGGGAGTGAATTTATGGATGGAAAATCTCTTTTTCTCTCTAGTTTTCATATAGATGGAAATAAAATAAACATTTAACAATCTCACTCTATTTCCCAAAGCTATGGAAATTCTCAAGATAAAAATAAAAACAAAATATTTATTTGTATTTCAAAGGCAGAAAGAAAGTAATTTTCCACTTGTTGGTTCCCTTTCAACATGCCAAAGCATCCAGGACTAGGACATGATGAAAATGGGAGTGTGGAGCACAGCCCAGGGAAGGCTGGCAGGGCTCAATATGTGAGACATCTGTTGCCCTCCAGAAATTGCATGAGCAGGAACCTGGATTGGAGACAGAGTAGCCAGGTCTTGAAACCAAACACTCCAATTTGAGACATGGCAGACTTCTCAAGTAGCCACTTGACCACTGCACAGATGCTCAGCCCTGAGAATCTTATTGTAAGTGATCTTATTTTTCTAAGAAAATATGTGCTGTGATAGACTTATTATGACTAAAAAATAGTAAACTTCAAAAGAGCTTTAGAGGCATTTAAAGGAAACACAAATCTTAAAGTATTTTAGACCAACATTTACAGAGCAGTCAACTGAAAAATATGAGTAAACAAGTGCTGGGCATTTGCTTGCGAATGTTAAATGCTTGCCACCTGAATATGATATCTCCTAGACTTTCTGTATCATAAGATGTTAGTTCTATCATGAAGAAGCAGCAAAACTTGTATTCTAAGTAAATATAATTCAACAAAAAACAAAATAAAACAAAACCACCACAGTTCTAAAAATTATATCCCAAATACTCCCATCATCAAAATGGAAGAGTTGCTTAAGTACCTGAGAGAGGTTTGTTAACAAATTAATACAAATGTGTAAAACTTTTGAAGAAAGAGTATTCAGCAAGGTTTTGTCTGCGCCACCATAGGACTAGAAGTGGTTCAATGAATAGTGGCCAATCAGTGCTACAGTCAACAGAGAGTAAAATTGGGGTAAACTTCTCTGCTAATCCACCAGGATTCAATCTGAATAGGATTCTTACTTGGGGGTTGGAAAGAGGAAGTGATCTCTTCTGCTATAAGATGCGGAAGAAAAAAATTGTAGTATCTAAGGAAGGAGACCACATGTGAGGCTTTTTTCTTGATTCTAATTGAGAAGTAAGTAGCAGCTCTCAGAGGGGGATAATGTAAAGGAAGAAAGGAAAAAGGATTATATTCAATATTACCTTTCAATATAAATGTGGCCAGAACCTTTGCTGAAATTTAGATATGAGGTGAGAGAAGGTATCAAAGCAAACCCAAACTGTTTTAGCTTGGTAAACTGAGTGAATTGTGGCTCCCTTTACTGTGCAGGACAGTACTCAGGAGAGCTAAATCTTGTGAAGAATTGAGAAAGTATCTTTAGATATGTTCCTGGTGTCCTGTTGAGACTTATCATATAGGCGTTTCCAAAGCCTTGAATGTGGATGGGACATGTAGAGAGTAAGTACCATAGAGAAAGGTACAGTTGGCTAAGCTTATAGGATTGAGAAACGGATGATCCAGACAAAGCAACTAGAACAGTAGGATGAAGAATAGAAGAGACTAGCATCCCAGATATTGAAAACATTTCAAATGGTGTGTCACAAGTTGGGTAAATACTGTTGTGGGGTTAAGACATGTAAGACCTATGATAAGATTGCTGCATTTTGCTGTATGAGGGTCATTGATAACATTGCTAACCTGATCTCATGGTGTGTGAGACCCAAAGTTTGGCAGAAAGTGATTTGAGAGGAGAGTCTGAGATAAGAAAATTGTAACTCTTTTAAACATATATAAAGATGTACATGGGGAAGTGGACCGGGCTATAGCACTTGCCATCATATACCGAGGTGAGGAAGACCATGTCAGACCAGGCCGTAGCACCTACCAACACACGAGACCTGGGTGAGGGAGTGTGTGAGCCTGGTAGGGCTCAGTGCTGGGCCACTGCTCCTGTTGGTGAGCATGAGAGCTCGGACTGGGGGCAGACCAGGCTAGGCAGGGCTACAACTCCTGTTGGCTTCAAGTGGACTGGGTTAGGAGAGAGCCAGCCTGGGCTAACCCACTGTATCTGCTGGTGCAGGCATGAGCCAGAGTAAGCGTAGACTGGTTGGGCTTTGCTGCAGCATTGGCTGGCAAGTGTGGGACTTGAGGATAATCCTGCTGAACTAGACTGTAGAACCACCTGCAGAGTGCAAGATCTGGGTTAGGGAATGAGTCCAGTAGGGAAACTGTGCACACTTCTCAAATGGACAGCAGCTGCCCCTGGTGCACATGAGAACTAGAATTGGGGGTGGGCTTGGCTGGATAGGCGGTGGTACTTGTTGAAAAGAGTTAGGGCTGGAGGGTGGAGTTTGTTGAATTGAGTTAGGCTTCAAATCCCAGTGATGTGTATGATTGCTGAATGGAATGTGGGGCATACTGGAACAGTCCACTGAACATGCTGGCAGACACAGAAACAAGGGCTGGGGGCTGGCCCAGTGGGAGTTATCGGGGCTCGCTCTGACTGGGCTTCAGCTTCCTGTGGTGTATGTGGGTATCAAGTGTGTGCAAAGGTGGGGTTGGGCTGAGCTGTAGTACCCACTGGTTTGTGTAAGAAATTGGGCTGGAGATAGATCTGACCTAGCAATTACAACTATCATGTGTATAGGCTGATGTAGGTGAAAGAATGAGCTGGACCCTGTATTGGTAGGTATACACAGGAGTCAGATTGGGATCACCTCAGACTGAATTTTTTTGAGGGCCCTTCCAACTAAACCACTAAACTCAGAGCTCCAACCATGGGGAGAGTGGCAGGATCTGTGATGTGACAAGGAAGTGCATGGTCCGAATGGGGTCTTCTCAGTTACTGATGATGGTGCAGCAGACAGCATGCCCAGATTCACATTGAGGATATGGCAGTCCATTGGAGTGTGTGGCGTATCTTTGTTACCATAGCAAAAGAAGGAGAGCATAACAAATTGGTCAACTACCCCAGTCAAGAACTGACAGCAAAGACCTGAACAAATGGAGACTCTGGGTTGGATTGTGTCAGCCAACAGACCTTAGAAGGATTTCCCAATCCATGGATGTGTGAGATCAACAGCATGTCCGAACTATCAAAAATAAGCTAAGCAGAATTGTCAGAACATGCTCCACATTGGGGAGCATGACTGGGATGACTTCAGGTGGCCATTCCTCATCTCTGGGTACTGAGCTGGTTGGGAGGCTGGGTGTGGCTTCTGCCTCCTCTCAGATACAAGAAGAAGATAAGGAAGACATGAAAATAGTAGTCTCAGCCACTTTTTGCTAGTTCTTAACCAATTGTGTAAACATCATCAAATCTAAAATTTAAAAAAGAAACAAATGGGGAAGTGGAAAAAGTTATAAAAGCAGAGGTTTTTGTTTGTTTTAGAATTTTTATTTGTCTGAGAGGCAGTTGCAGAGAGGGAAAGAAAATCTTCCATTGATTGGATCATTCTCTGAATTGCTAAGAGAGCTGGGGCTTGGGCCTTCTGAAGAAAGGAACCTGGAACTCCATCTGGATCTCCTGTGTGGGTCTCAGGTTCTCATACAATAGCTGGATCTGAAGTGGAGAAGCTAGGGCTCCAACTGATGCTTATAGAGTTTGCTACTGTGCTACAGGCCAGCCCCTGAAAGTAGTTTCTGTTTCTTAAAGTATGGATGAGGGTGAACATGAAGAAATAGACATCAAATGTTTGTGAGAAAGCAGAGAACTGCAAGAAGAAATTCCATGGGTAGGACAATGGCATGGATTCTGGTCATGAGAGAGGCTGGCCTGGAAGACTGTGAAGAGTTAAACCTTCGATGGGAGAGAGAACAAGTCAATAGACACAGAAGCAGGATGCA